GTGAGAGCGATTTGAGATCTTATGGCTGTTCAATCCACTGCCATCATACCATTTTCTGAATGGTATAAGCGTAATAAAAGTTACTGTGTTACCTGGTTTAATTTTAAATACTGCGTTTAAGATTTGTGCTCACTCTCTGAAGACTTTATTTGGCTGGGTGATTTTGTATGATACTATTTTCTCTTAAAGATGTTGTATATTGGGCCAAAAAGAAATCTACAACCAGCAACTGATTCTCATTCAACTAGTGTACACGTCATGTGTGATTACTTTAACTGCAAACACTTGACCACAAATGTGATTATTCGGTTACAAGACACATCACATACAGACATCCATGTTACCAGCAACCTAAATTGTGCGTACAAGTTCTAACCAGATAGAATCAACTGTGGATGTATATAAACAGGGCAATACAGCCTTAAGACACTTTGCAATCCCTTTTTTGGCACAACACTAATTTCTTTTTTTCCTGCCAACTCTCAGGTAAGACACACACCATGTTAGGCAGTTCGGACCAGCCAGGTGTGATCCCCAGAGCTGTTCGCGAGGTCTTCAATCTGGTAAAAGCAAAGGATGACGATGATGGATGGGACTACAGCATTGGCATGTCTTATTTGGAAATTTACAATGAGAAGGTATGAAATGTTGTCTGGTTTACGCACAGCATAGTGTGACCTGGTGTCAGCGATGCATAGTCATTTGCTGTAACACAAAAAGTAATCACCGATAAATCACCTTTTTCATTTTGTTGATGAGAAACAAATGTACTTTTAAAACTACAGAAGAAGAAAAACAATCGTACTTCATCATTGCATACGTCTCATTCTCTCAGGTTCTAGATCTTCTATCGCCAGGCTCCCAGGATCTGCCAATCAGAGAGGACAAGGACAAGAACATCCTCATCCCCGGCCTCACACACACAACTATCTCCTCCTTCTCAGATTTTGACAAACACTTTGTGCCTGCCACACTCAATCGAACTACCGCCTCTACCAAACTAAACCAGCGGTCCAGCCGCAGCCATGCTATTCTCCTCATCAAGGTTTGATATTGAATCGATCAACGGTCTCTTTTACTTTATTGAGCTTGTCAGTATATGGGTCTGCTGGGGACTTGAATAGCATCTTAAACAGGTCGTGGCCTTTGTGCAGTAGGCCAGGATTTGGTAGCTGGTGCTGAAATCAATTCTCTCTTGCAACACTCCCGCTAGCAGCATCTGGGCTTTCTGGGACTATTCTAAGAGGGATACATGCTGGTGTCTTCTGTCCTATAACTTACATTAAGCTGTTCTTAAATTTTTACTTCCTGTGTTGTAGCACTGAATATGTGTGTTGTCTTTATCATAAAAATGTATGATTCCCAGTAATTCTGTCTTCCTGCCTCGGTGTCTGTGGTGTCTGAACTTTTTGCTGCTGCCCTGTCTAAAATCTCGATCTTTTCCATAATCTAGGTTGTGCGGACTCAGCGTGCCCTTCCCAACCGACAACAGACAGGCAAGCTGTACTTGGTAGACCTGGCTGGGTCTGAGGACAACCGCCGCACCGGCAACCAGGGCATTCGTCTGAAGGAGAGCGGTGCCATCAACCTGTCTCTCTTCACTCTGAGCAAAGTGGTGGATTCTCTGAACTCTGGCACTGCTGTTCGTGTCCCATACAGAGACAGTAAACTAACACGACTGTTACAGGACTCTTTGGGTGGCTCAGCACACTCTGTCATGATCACAAATATTGCACCGGAGTACACATACTACTTCGACACATTTAGTGCTCTCAACTTTGCTGCCAAATCCAAGCTCATTGTGAATAAGCCCTTCACCCAAGAAACTGTTGCTGTCCCCGTTCTGCCAGGTGAGTGAGAAGCACAAACCTTTCCTTCTGAGAATTTGATCAAAAAGCCAACAGGGGGCACCAATGTCACATACTAGAGGATGATGACTAGTAGTAAACAACCGGCTGCAAGTTAGAAGTACTTTTTTAATTTTTGCACCTCTGTTTTCTCCAGTTTTAGAGTTTTTGTGTCTATCATTTTCTTAAATGCATTCCTGCTTTTCCCTTGGCATTAATTCAAGCACTGCAATGCAGCCCAAACTGATGTACCATCATCTAAATTGCTTTACACTCTAGAGAACCTCACAAACACTTGCTTGAGTGCACTGAATACCAAACTGTTAATTTCCCCTCTGCCTTCATCTCCAGTGAAGCGGGCCAGAGAAGACCAAGAGGCAGGAAGGTCTGGCACCGAGCCACAGAAGAAGAAGCAGAAAGAGAAGAAAACCGAGCAGGATGGTTCATCACCCTCTGCACATTTGCACAGGTTAAAGACCACACACACACACACACACACACACACACACACACACACACCCCGACAGACTCGTTCATTATTTGTCTGGCCAATACGACTTTCTAACTGATGTCTGACTGCAGCGAATGCATTTCCTAAAGCTAAACTGTCACTGTTTTTATAGCTAGAGCTGAAAGCAACACGCTCTGTAATGTTCCCATCAGCTTTAGCTCTTGTTTCTTCTGGATGTTATCAGGTGTACAAGTCTGTCTGGGATATAATATTTACCACATGTGTTTATTCAGCCTGGTTGACCTTTTTAATTTCTTAGTATTTAGGGTTAAGGTTAGAAAGCATATGACCTCCCTAACCTATTCATTGATTGTGTCTCCACCAGTCTGTCAGAACCATCGGTGATGGACAGATTAATAGCTCTTGAGAAGCTGATGATGAGCTGCCAAGACAAAAACAGTAACAGTATGCTCAAAGATGTGGCCCAGTCTCGCAAGGAGATCCAGGTGAAAACACACTATCACCACATTATTTCCACACAGGTTCCAGGTGCATACACTGCATACTATAGGTATTTTGTTTTCGTTCTGGTTCAGCCTTTGTCAGTGTCAGACCTACTGTCTGATTGCAATTTACCAAATGCTGATCCAGTCAGGTCTTTGCACTGATCGATCAACTCTTCTTCCTGGATATTTGATCGCTGACCTCACCACTCTGTTGTTTTTTCAGGAGCTCAAAGAGAAGCAGAAGAAGTTTGAGAGCCAAGCCCTTCTGATGAGCCATTTGGCCAAACAGGAGCCCGCCTTTAACAACACCACAGCTCCTCTCCAAAGAAAACCGTCAAATGCTACAAAACCCAATAAGCAGCAAGCTGTCGTCCAACCCCTACAAGGTCAGTTAGACATTACAGCGAAGGATAAATTGATGGAAATAGCCTGAAAAAAGTCTGAGAAAATGAAATTCTTTTCTATTTGGTAATCCTTTATTTTCCTGCCTCCCCAAAGAATAGTGACTCACTGCTTCTGTTGAATCACTGGAGATAATGAGCTGCAATCTGATACAAGAGCTCAGTCTACATTATAGGAGCTAGAAAATATATCAAATAACAATGATGAGGAATTCTTTTTTATACCCCTCAGCAGCTCAGAGTTTGAGCCAGATAACTGTACACTTAAAATGTTGTTTTTATTTCATCAACATCAGACAATTTGACAGTTTCAATGTCAACTTGTTGTGTATCTTCTCATCATTGTGACTATTGTTTTAACGTGTAACATTAATGGAATTAATTTAGTTGTGGTTTCCTCCCCGTCAGTGTCCCAGCTTAAACCTCTCCAGCAGCTTGCAGTCGTCAAAAAACAGTCGGTCTGCGCCAAGAAGAAAGAGAGGAAGCTTTCAGACCACATGGAGGTCAGCATCTGAGCCTTAACTGTGCTTTGCTTAGCTTGATACCAGTGAACATCCTCTCCAGGCCACTACAGACAAATAAATGAGTCATTTTCATTATAATTTATATTCTCTGTAATTGTACAGGCTAGTTTTTTTTCTTAATTACTTCCTGTACTTGATGTGTACTTTGTGTCTCAGCCTCCAGATGGTAAAGAGAATATAATGGAGACTAGTTGGGAGTCCCAACTGGACACATCTGTTCTGGAGCAGTCCAGGCAAAAAATCCTACAGGTCCTTAACTGCGGCTCCCTCAAAGAGCTGAAAGGTCTGCAGCAGATCGGAGACAAGAAAGGGAAGCTCATCCTGGGCTGGAGGGAGATCCATGGCCACTTCTCAAAGGTCAGAAGAGGGAAATGTTGCTCAAGTCTCAACAGTACCTTGTGTTTTTCTAACTTCAGGTGAGCGATGGGTTTCGAGATTTTAATGTACCTCTGTTTGATCTGTTGTTTTGCAGTTGGAAGATCTTGTAAAAGTTGAGGGAATGACAGAAAAGAGATTTTCTACCTTCATGAAGGTGAGTGGGGTCAGAATGAAATTATATCAATTAGCCTTAGATGTTATTCACTTTAATATAAACAAACTTAATTTGTAATTTTCTTTATCCAGTGTAGCATTTAGAAATACTCACAACAATGTGGCTGATGACTGGTTCATACTAACGACCTGGAGCAGAATTGTTTTACTCTTGTCTAACGTTCATTTCTTCTTTCTTTTCAGGCGAACATCTTGAGTGCCATGGGAAAGTGATTTATTTGTATTTTTTTAATAAAAACCATGTCTAGTGTATATAATTCCTATTTTAAAATCTTTTATCTTGTTTTTGTAGTTACAACTGTGTACCAGCTGGTGGCGCTCTATTGCTTTTTAATAAACGTCTGGCATGACATTGAATGTTTGGAGTGTTTACTTCATGACGTGAAACACATGTGATGGTCACCTTCACATGTGGGTCAGATGTCCTCCACCCTGACTTCCTCATGAATCAACCGTGAGCCTCTGTGGCTGCGTCTCCGCCTGTCTCCAGTTTAAAAAACCTGATTCGGCTCCTTTGTGAGCTCCTGTCCTCCGTAAGGAGAAAACAGGAGGTGACACCTTGTTATCACAGACTCTGGAAGCTGCGTTAGTGGATTCATTGTCAGTGAGGACACAATCTAGCGCCCCCTGCCTGCACCGCCTCCCACTGCACGTAGTCTGGCTGATTTCACTTTTCATTTCACACACACACACACACACACACACACACACACCTCTGAGATCCACCCTGCCGCCCAGGAGGTTGCTCATCCATCCATCCCAGCAACACACTGCGCTGCAACGAGACGCTCTGCAGCTTTCACACAACAACAGCGGATCGTCGGGGTTTCACACTCTGCTGGATGTTGAGATGCTCGGTCGCGTCTGACGCTTTTCTTCTTCTTCCCCTTGAAATGAACGCCAGCACGATGCCAGAGCCCGCGATGAAGCGCCTGGATTAAAAAAAAAAAAGGTCAGTTTGATTTATCTTCGCAGCCTCCTCCTCTTGTGTATTCATGAGAAACACACCAGGATATTATCGATTTGCATTAATGCTTTTTGCTTGAATTCAATGCAACCTGCAGGTTTTTTTTTTCTTATTGCATCTGAATTCAAAGGCTAGTTAATGAGTAGCCTCCCTCCCTCTCCCCCTCCATCACCCCTCCATCCCTTTCTCCTCCATTCCACTATGTTCCCTTTGTACTCGTCGTTTTGCCCCCGAGTCCTTTCACCTTTTGTTCTGTGCACAACAATCAGCCGCCATGAGCACACATGGGGAAATAATGCTATGTACACACCTGCACACAGACCATGGCTGCCTCTGTGCTTTCAGAGGAACCTGCCTCCATCTGTCTTTGTGCTCTGCCTCTGTCGGTGTGACCCGCTTTTCTTCTCTCACCTGATCTGGAGCACATCTGGGGCCTGATGCACAGTGAACCAGTGTTTCCTCTGTTTACCTTCAGCCTGTCATCTGCACGAACACTGATCAAAACAAACTGAACATGGGATTCATAAAGGTGCTATTGACTCTGGGTATTTAGGGACTGCTTGTAAATTATTTTTTAGAGGGGCTGAAAAAAACAAAACATAGTGACACCCTCCCCCAACATTTTCAAAAACGCAGGTACATGTATTTATATTCTTTTCAAAAATTCAATTGCTAAGGGTCAATACACATATTTATTCTTTAGGCATTGTGCAATCACTGGAGGTGTAACACGTGATCTAATTCACCTCAGATTTGTAAAATGTTTTGCTTTTTCTGCTCATAAAGAAAAGTTTAAAACCACAACCATCACTCAGGAGCAAACAAATGATAACGTGAATCATGATAATTATCAATATCAGCTGATTTTTATCTAGATATAATTTTAGGCCATAGTCTGTCCTGAGTGTATATTTATTCATATGTTTGCAGTCTCATCTTTCACAATCCTTAATTTGCTTCTATTTTATATAAGTTTGGGTTTTGTTTCAGGTATTTTTCCCAGGAAGAGTAGCTGTGACATTAGAATCAAAGTAATAATATCCTACTACTGAATTGGTACAACTCTTTAGTAAATGAAGTTACAGATAATTGGTGTTCTCTAATAGAAGAAAACTCATCTTATTTTGCATTGCACTCCTGTAAACTCACAGCAGATTGTGTGAAAGATGATCAGAGTGGATGCAGCAGAACCGGAGATATCACATCTGTCTGTCCCAGTGACCACATGTAGAATATTGAGCACTTCTGTGCATCACGAGGAGCAGACAACTGTCTCCTGTTACCACTTTGAAGCTGTATTAAGTGGATCCCAGAATTCATTGTGGTGTGCGGTTCCTCTTCCGCACATTTCTCGGCTTTAATTCTCCTTAAGGTTGATTTCAGGCCAAACAATATTCAACAGACATGAAGAGGCAGCAGTTCTATCTTATCTACATGACACCAATCAGCTTAATATTTCATATCTGACGCTTTCAACATAAATAATAAATACCAACCCATTTATTAATAGTTTTGAAAAATAGTCTCCACAATAAGTAGATCCACAATAATTGATTTATTGTCTTTATTATTTGAACCACTTCTTCCACTCTGTTTTAACTGTAACTCTGTATTGATCCTGCTTAATTAATTATGTTGAAATGAAAACAACAAATCATCTGAGCTCTTTGTGCAAAGAACAGGATGTGCACATTACATTTGTGCTGTGTGACCAGTTACCACAACTAAGTGTGTTGGTATAAACACACCCATTATCTGTCCTTTATTTCTGCACATTCCTTTTTTCTTTCTCATTCATTACCCACAATGCAATTCGACCACTTACAGTTCATCATCAAAGTGTCTTCTGCTTCATGCAGCCACAGCTAATGTTGGATAATGAAGAGTTCACAACAGACGCAAAATGTTTATGGAATATTCCAGCTTTTCCAGCTAATATATTTAATTTGTTCGGCCAGTCTAACTTCTGAGACGCAGAGGAGAAGACTTCATGGAGGCTCAAAGAACTTAGATGCTCCCTGAACACCACATCGGTCCCGTTTCTCAAAAATGACAAATTGATCTCATTACTTTCTAAATGTGTTTTAATGAGGTAAATAAACTCAGAGACAACAATGTCCTCAAGTGACAAAATGCACTTTATTGACCTGTGTTGAAAATATTAATTGTGTAAATATATTAGCTTTAAATTCGCATATTTGTTGGTTATAAAATAAAATGTATATCTTGGATAAACCTTTAAAAAAAAGGATAAGTGGCAGAGCAGGTTGGTTAAAACCATGTTCTTGTTCCCAGGTGTCACAAACAGGAAGCACAAACAGGACTTGACCACAAACAGAAGCTTCATTCAGCTCCAGTCAGCATGGCCGTGAACATGATGCCAGCTCCTGCCGTTTGGCCCGGGGAGGAACAACCATCGCTGCTGGACCAGGAGGCCTCTCTGTCGAGCCACGCCTCCGTCTCCATGCCCTGCCCACTACCGGCCATCGGTGAACATCTCATCCACAGTGACAGCAGCCCGGCCTGCACACGGCCGCCCCGCAGCAAATCCAAAGGGGAGCTGGTCATAGTCATCAACGAGAAACTGCAGAACAGTAAGTGACTGGGTTTGACCTGGTATTAAGGCAGCGGGTGGGTCATGCAGCTGCTTAGTCAGCTCGCTCAGGGAAAGTCACATCCAGTGCACAGAAGGGAGAACACACACACACACACACACACACACACACACACACACACACCTCTGCCAGTGTTTCAAACCTCTGCATGTCCTTTCCCTCTCACATGTGTAGGTAGTGGGATACATCCAGTTCCTGCAGAAAGCGCCTCTCCAGTCATCTCCTCTCCTCCCAGAAGACAACACTCCATCTCTTACCCCCATCACAGCAAGACCAGGAAGGGCAGCAGGGCCAGCTCCATTGGCTACACCGCTTTCTCCCCAAGGCCGTCGATTTCTCGCCACTCCAGCATCGCCACCAACCCGCCCTTGGACCGGACCAAGGTTAAGGACTACCTCCTGCTGTCCGTGTTGGCCTGCTTTTGCCCCGTCTGGCCCATCAACATCGTGGGATTCGTCTACTCCATCATGGTAAGAGTCTGTGTTGGAGTTGTGTAAGAATCTGTGATCGGTAATCTGTACTAACAGATGGTTCAATCTTCTCCTTCAGTCCAAGAACAGCCTGGAGCAGGGAAACCTGGACGGTGCTGTGCGCCTTGGACGTGTGGCCAAGATGCTCTCCATGGTTTCACTAGTTGGAGGGACGGTCATTATCATCGCCTGCATTGTCAACCTGGCCAGTGAGTGTCCCAAATCTGACCTTTAAACATTAACTACACCTTTTCACCCTCTGTGTAGCCGATTCTCTCCCCTCAAGTCCTCCTTTTTTCTCCCCTGTGAAGTTTGAATCGATAGAGCAGCAGTAGCTTTGCCACTGCTGATCCTCTGGGCCTCAATAAACTGCTACTGTCGCTGTTTATCCCATCACGACATAATATTTAGCTCCGTTAGCACAATCTGACTGTATTCACTGATATTATTACATCTATGTCTGCACAACATTGCACTCGCTGCAAAGCCTGCACCAGTCCTAACACACTGCAGCACTTTAGGAACCATGTCAACGCTACGCAAAGATCAGAGCGTATTAATCGCATTTGCCTCTGACTCAGTCGACATTCTATTACATCTTTCTCTGTAATACTCGAGCGGCCTCCGGCTGTAACTGACCGCATGCCTCAGATCGCTGTGTGTGTATCTGTTGAGTGATATGTGCTTTCTGTTGTACGCCCTGATCTGTTCACTTGTACAATATGTGAAGTCTTGTTGTCACTGTACCACATGTATATGATGTATGTCCGTGTGTGAGCTGTCGACTCGCACGAGATGAATAAATGCATTTATTGTACCTGGCGAATAAAAGGATTCTGATAACAGATCAGTGATTATTACTCATTAGTTGTTTTTTGTTAAGAAAACAATGAGTATTTGCAGGACTTGATATTTAAGGATATTCATTTGTGAAGGGTCCGTCAGTGTAGTGACTTCTCATCTGTATGTTTTTGAACGCGCACAGTTTCTGCCTGTTGGGTCTCATTAAACCAAGAGATGTAGTAATTAACTTAATCAGTGCAAGAGCAAATGCACGCACAACTTGACTTTAAGGGCTCTGGGACTCGACAACCCTTGTTTTCTCGTGATGTAATTGTCCTCTGTGGTCTGTGAAAGTGAATACATCCATATGAGGTTGCAGAATATTCAGCTCTACTTCAACTAATACGCTTCCTTTTCTTTTTTTAGTAAATGTGAAAACCTGAGTTTCATCCCAGGGTGAAACTGGATAAGGCAACTGACCGTCTGGCCCTCACCTGCACCACCGTCTTTACCACCTAGTCATTACCTGGATGTGTGACAAATATGCACCCAATATACAGCGCTTACTCATATTTCTGTAATCTATAGAGGTCCTTTTTGCTAATGGAAGAAAATGACATATGCAAATGCTCTGAGTTTGGGGGGGGGGGTGTCCGTCTGATGTTAGATGGAGAGAGAGGCAGTCAGACTAATCGGCCCCTTTATATTCTCGCCAACATGACAAATTCAGACAATTCTTGAGAAAGAAACAAAAACTCTTCGACACTCGCAGAAGTAACTCAAACCAGGTGGACAAGAAAACAAGTGGAGCCGGTAACACAACATGAAACAGGAAGCAACGCCTCCTGGCTTCAGCGCTACATGCAAGACCCAACAAAATGTCCGCCAAATCCATCCTTCACCGCACCGACGACACAGTTTCAACTCGCCGCTAAATCCCCCTCGGATACGTCGAGAGGCTCTTGGATTTGTGTCACGGAGCAGAAATTCATCCTTTCCCTTCACGGAGAAGAAACACTTTCAATCATCGTACGTCATCTTGCTCCCGTCTTTCCTCTGTGGTCCTCGTGACTCCTGCCATACATCATGTGTTTGAGAAGCGAGCGTACGGGTGGCAAAGAGGATGAAAGAGAGGCTTACCAAGGACAAGCTATGTGTGCTGAAAAGAAAAGGGATTATGGGAAGTCTTGCATAGAAGGCACCGTCATCACAGCAAGGAAAACATGTGCCAAAAAGGAATTTAGTGGGAAAAGTTTCTCGCTTTGTAAAAACCCAACTCTGATCACAGAACTGTTGTTGTCGAGGGTGTTTCCACCCAGCTGCGACTCTAAAACTGTAAAATCACTCAACACCACCGAGCACTGTGACCTGAGAGCCGCCACAAGTTCACATCATCATAAACCCACCGTAGCAGGATACTCATTTTACAGTGAAGCTAATTACGCAGCGTCATCTCTAACCTATCTTTTGATAATGTTTTTGTAAGAGATCCTTTTGAAACTGAGGAAGATTTGTAATGTGATGCTCTTCAGTGCTGTGGCGCAGTTGACAGATGGTGGGAGTGTTGTGTGCATAAGGGGCAACAAGATTTGGTTAAATGAAATGGCTCATGATTGAAGGCAGGGTTGAGCCTCGATGTGTATCCACACATCGGTGGCATTTGTTTCTCCCTTAAAAACACTTAAAACTGGTTGATTTGATTAACACTTAAATATTTATGCCCTTTTTCTTATCATATTATTGTAGGATGATGCACAGTTAATGTGATAGACCTAATGTTTACATCTGGTTTATTATGAATATTATTACATTTCCTGTATATTCTAACCTCGAATAATATCTTTTTTCTCAACTACAACAAACGGGTTTCATTAACAATAGATAAACCTCCTTATTGATTTACCGTATCCTGGTTCTAGAATCATGTACAGAAATGTTCAGTCCTGCAGATCATTTTCTTTACAGACTGAGTTAGCATTTTTTTCCCCTCCCTCTGTTTCTATTTAATATGTAAACTTACGTGTAATCAACAGTCGTTGTATTCTGCAGATATTAATCTCAATATTGTGATAATTCTCTAGTTGGTATGAGTTAGCATTAAGTAGTTACGACCTTATTGAGGCACAGGTGCTGTCGACTAGACGGCCATTGTAACGCCACCGGGCTTCTATAATCTTTGTGGTTAATGGCATGTTGTGGATTTTTACTCATGTACGACGATAGAAGCTGAAAAATCTGCAAAGATAAAGCTGGCACTTGGAATATTATACTTCTGCAGCACCTTCATAATAAAGACACCGTGCATGTAACATGTTGTCAGTGTGGTTCTGAAGAGGTGAAGAGCAACAGCGGTGGAGATTAAAGACCATTTTTTGTGGGAGAGAATGAGAAGTCAAAGAATGAGTGAGAGATTTGCCACTGAGGAGAGATTGTTTTGCAATTAAGCTGATGAGAGGAACAAAAAAGAGAAAACTATTAATGTAGTTCTCTGTACTGTGACGGTGCGTAAGCTGCACTAGGGCACCTGCTGTCAACAAGAAGAATTAAATACTGAGAGGAGAGATCCTGAGCCAATGAAATACACCAAATGAGAATTAAAGCCTCAGATGACTTCAACTAATTCAAAGCAAAGATATCCCTCATTATATTCTCACAGGTTATTTTTAAACCAGTAACAAGTTATTTCTATCGGCTGCTCAGCTTAATAACTATGAGTATTTGTATGTGAGTGAATGGGTAAGAACATTTCATTTCACATTTCATTTTTGTTGTTCATTTTGTTCTTTGAAACCAAACTGAGTGATGTGGGCAAACCCAAGTTACAGAGACAGGAAATTCATCCAGGGTTGTTGAGATACATCAGTCAGAGAAGTAGAAGGACAGACCATCACTGCCATGCTACTACTACAGCTCTGGCTTCTTTTTACCCTTGATTTACATTAAAGTAAATTAATATATTTCTGTTAATTCAATACTTACTATAGTCCACACCTCCACCAAGGCCCAACAGTCCCCTTGTGAAACCACATTTAAACTTACACTCATAAATACCAGTCCCTTTACTATGTCTAATTTTTAAAAATCAAGATCCAGGAGTTATTCGCTAAGAGAAACACCCTTTGTCAAAATTTTATAGAAACTGAAAAAATAGTGAGTTATTTTTTGGTGGTCAAACCTCAACCTGTGAAAACATTTTATGGAAATCAGTTGAGTAGTTTTTTTTTTTTTTTGCATAATCCTGCCAACAAAACAAACCAACGCAGAGGAAAAGTTAACCTTCGGCAGAGGTCAAAACCAGCAATTTTGACATCACAACAATCACAAGAAGTATTTTATATAAACACAGAAAACACCATACACACATATTTATTATATAAAAGATGATTTATGTTTTAAAAAACTCTTGTTTATCTGAGAGTTTCATGGAGAATAAACTCAACTTAATAAGCAGAAATCACAGCATCTGATAACAACACATTCCTGTGTCTGACAACTGACAGTTCTGTTTGTACTCAGCTAATTTAACAGTAGGTATACGCAGCTCACACAGGGATCACTACACCAGACAAGGGCACATCCAGCTGCAGGAAGTGGGTCAGGGATTATCCAGCTGGGTCACACAAACACTGAGGCTGTGAGTCAACTTGGCAGCGTTTGATTACATGATGATCAAGCTGTCAGTCCACATAGGAGGTAACAGCGTCATGAGATCCAGTACACTGACCTGTGGCCATGCTGTTCAATTAATCAGCCGCAGTAATCGTTATGCGAGGGAACTCATGCTCAGATGGATGGTCGGGGATTTTGTTGTTTTTGAACATTTAAAAGTAAAAGAAGATGTTTATTGTTTTAATATAATGACGTAAGTACGTTTTCATGTCGGGTTCTACTTATTTTAACAATGATTATATTCTCCTCCACTGGTGTTCATCATCTATCATATCATCTTTCATCTATCTATCTATCCTTCTATCTATCTATCTCTCTATCTATCTCTCTTTCTCTCTGTCTTTCTTTCTATCCATCCATCCATCCATCCATTCATCCATGACAATAAGGCCAAAAGAATGGAACGAGGTAAATGAATTATAATTGAGCACCTTTACAACATGCACACACTCATATGTAGTTTAATTAAAACATGACGCAGCTTCAGGCTTTTATTTGTCCCATTATTACTCCACAGTCAGCAGCAACCTTCACTACACAGTGCCGGCTGAGGGTGGCAGTAATGCCTCCATCGTCCCAACATAAAACACTGAAGCTTCTTTCTCTCACATTTTATGTTTCACAGGTTTTTTAATGTTATGAGATGATTTTTACAAAGATTAGTTGAGCTTTGGTGAATATTTGTGGCTTTGATAGAGAAGCCTATATAATAACCCAATAACCTGGGGAGAAATAAAAAGAGCAATTTTCCCTCTAAAATCTAACATTTACAGGAAATAAAAGCTTTTCAGGAAACCAGGCGGCAAGTTGTTACAGAAATACATTATTTGATGATCATCCTTATCTTTTATGTGTCTCCTCAATCAACGTTAATGATGGTGCTCATCCCTGGTTCAAATAAATGTTCGTGGTTTCATAGAAATCTGCTAAACCACAGGGTTTCAGGTTAATCCTCCCTGAGCTTTAACTACTTTTACTCTGTTAAAGGTTATTTTAATGTGTAAAGTGGGCCTGTGTACAGTAACATGTGACATTTCATTTATCTTCTTAGGACTGATTAAAGATCATCATGTTGTCAATATGATTATAAGCTGACAAGTTCTTACATGTTACATGTTATTGCATCATCTGACGCTGAATGTCTTTATCGTCACGTGATTGTTATTCAAATTGAATGTGGTTCGTCCTCAAGTGTCCGCTCTCAGTTTTCACAGTAATCTCAGTTTAGATCTTTCCTGCAGCTTCATAAAATAAAAGATAGTATCTTTATTTTTTCTTTTAATCTGCAAAAACGGATTCATGCTTTTATTACATATGAACCACAGGAGAGAAGTGTGACCTAAATTTTACAATCTCTACATTTGCTACCTGTGGAATTGTTTTAGTTTTATAGCTTTATTAAGGCTAACACAGGCTTACAGCTTCTAAATATCTTCACATGAGTCTGATTATAACTTGTTGGGTCCTTGTTTTTCATTTTTAGTCTATACTTGACTCTGTATGAGCCTGTTTTAAAAGATTACCAAAACATTCTTGTAGACATCCTTTAAAGTCATTATATAGCTTTAAAGTGGCTATGTGTAAGTTTGTTCTATAGCTGCATTAAAAATATTTGCATCCACAGCTGTTTTTCTTTACCAATTCAGCACAAATGTTGCAAGTTATGTTTTATTTCTGTGTTCAGTCATGTGTCAAAGGAGGACCTGCAAAGTAAGAACTTCAATGTGTGGTGTAACACCTGTTTTACTGTATGAATAACAATAATAACTCTTTAATCTTGAATAACTTGCATTTATGTCCTATTAAACCTGAGAATCCAACAGGAGATATTAATAGTTGATTGTGCTTTAACGACGGCAGTCAAGTTCTTGAATCCTGAACCATCACAGAGAAACATGGAGTCAGCAGATCCTTTGGCCTCTGGCTGTGAAGCCGAGACACAAGTCACAACCAGCCATGAGTATTAGTGAATGTGTTGACGCTGAGACAACTCGACAAGTGTCACGATCTGCAGAAGCTCGGCAGTGAGGCGTGGGTCAGACGTCCAATATCTCATGAAGAGGACGATGGAGGGACTGATTGTCCCTGAAGGCTTCTGCTCAGACTAGTAGGACATTAAGCATCTCAGCAAGGCTGTGGTGAAAGATCTGCAGAAAATGTTTGGAATATGTGCCAACTCAGGCCTCTAATGTTATTGTAGGATCCAGGGGTGGATACTGTCATTGTTCATTTCTTCAGGCCAACATAAACAACGTCCCTTCTGCCACAGAAGTCTCTGTTTATAGAAAGACATAACTGGTGTTTTTGTTGAGGTCTTATGTACCCTAACACTCACCCAACCCCAACCCAAACCATAACCCCCTAACACCCCTAACCCATGAGCTTTCTGCCAATGTCACCATTCAAACCCTTCCGAAGGTTGTAGAGACTCTGGGTTGGTACCAATCGACCGAGAATACCTGAATTAGT